TAACCGTACTAGCAAAATGCTCAACTTCCTTAGCAGGTATGAAAAGTATGATTGTTGGCGCTTATTTGCGCAGCTTACCTTGATCCGCCACATTAATGACGCCGTCCTGCGCCACCGAAATGGCCGAAATCGCCTGAAAGCGAGCATTCGACGATAGCAAGGTCTCCGCGTTGCTCAAAGTGCCATCATCATTCATGGCGCCGCCCATGCCGTTTGCTGCAGCTGTTGTTTTGGCGCCCAGCAATATTGTTGTGGTTGTCGTTGGTCCAGTTGACATTAAATTACCACCGGCCACGATGCCCGCCAGTCCACTGGGAGCGCCGACCGTGACACCGACACCGCCGCCGCTGCAAATGCAGGGAGCACCCACACCCACACCCACACCGCCAACGCCACCCGCACCGTTGCCCGCACCAGCACCATAGCCAGAGACAGCACCATTTCCGCTTCCGCCGCCATTGCCGTTGCCGTGTCCGTTGCTGCCAGCCGGCGTTGTTGGTGTGGTGGTACGTTTCGGATTCATTGTCGTTGAGTAGGCGCTACCAGCGACGCCGCTGCCGGTTGATGAAAGCGCCGAGGCCAGACCGGATGTTGAACTGTTGACAGTGTTGCCATTGGAGCAATCGCAGGTTAGTGAACTGTGAAAGAGAAGAGCAGAGCATAGGAGGGGTGTTGAGTACGGAGTTGGCAAACAAGCGAACTGATGAGTGCTTAGCTTAAAAAATGCAGTATGAATGAGCATGTGTGTGTGTGTGTGTATGTGCATTAGTAGGTGTGTGTGTGGTTGTGGAAAGAGAAATATGAGCCGACACAGTGACAGTGATGTACGAGCCATGGTCTCCGATTTCGCAAGTTGGCCACAACGACCGCGACGAACCACGCGCACTTGGCTGCATTGTTGCGCCCACCCACGGGAATGAGGCAGATGAGTTTGTTTTATTGCAGAGCAAACGCTGAAATGGTTATGAGCTGCTGCAGATGCGTCAACATGGTTTCTGGATTGGGGCTGGGTGCAACAAATGAACTCGGTACTTAATGACATCACGCGAGTAAATAAAGGAAGTTTTAGAGGTTGAGACCACCGAAACACCGCTCATATATCGCAGACGATTAGGGCGCTTAACAGCGCGCGCATCGGAAACTATGACAAGCTAACACAAGGTTATGTAGGAGAACAAACTAACCAGCGACAAGTGAAAATGATATCAGGGGGACGTGGCTCTAAAATGGGGTAGCAAAAACTGAAATTGTCCCCCACAGCAAGAATAAGCTCTGGCAAGAGAACAATGAGGCATGGAAAAAGGCAGAGCTCATCGCAAAAAGTAATGGCAGTATGCTCCGGCCAATGTGTGAGGAGCACGAGGAGTGATGTGCAATGAGTTCCTGGGTTATCAACAGAAAAGTATTCAGTGAAAAATTAACAACTTGACAAAACAGTTAGGCAAACAGCGACAGATTAAAAGGCGAACGAACGAAAGAACTAACCATCCAAACAACAAATGAGCCAGTATACGGCTAGGCTCTTTGCTACTCTGCTCTTTGCATATGCATTTGTTGCTGGCCGGCTGGGCCGCCGTTATGGTGGGGCCTTGGCTGGAGATGCTTGCAGCTGACAGCCATAAAGACTTGCAGATATGTATAAGCATCGCCAATACACTCGGCTTGACAATGCTGTCAGCTGTTGGTAATGACGCCGCTTTGTACGTCAGGGGAGGAGTGAAGGCGCATTTGCGCGAATTCCGAAAGATTGGATGTAGAGCGAAAATAAAAAAAATGCAATGGAGGAGCCGCAAGAAGCGCTGTGAATATTTAAAAGGATTGGTTTGAGGGAATCGCGTATAATATAACAGATATTTTTAGGTCGTTGGCATTCGATACCAATTTACTGGTTGGTCTTAGTGGGGAATGGAAAGTGTAGTCTCCTTAAATTTCATTCGTTTGTGAGATTTTAAATATGTTTAATCGAAGTGATATGACAAAAAATTTATGTGAGTTAAAGTGGAAATGTTAAAATGTCTTCAAAGTTTATTACGACTGTGTATATTATGGTGTGCTAAAAAGTTTTTCAAACTTACCCCAGACCCTCCTGCTTGCCAGCAAAGTAGCGCATATTTCCCGCTGTGTCCACCACTCGAATTGAATTTACCCGCCGTGAGTCGCTGTCTGCGATGTAGAGATCACCGAATGGCGAGAACGCCATTGCCAGCACTGTGCCCAGCACATTCTCCGACGTCTTGTTCGATTTGTCTTGACCATTGTTGTTGCAGTGCAGGGGCGTGCCAGCTACGACGCGAATCTTCATATCCGAAGTTAGGCGCAGCACCAGCCGGTCGTCGATAAAATGCAAAGAACCGTCGAGTGGACTGAGCGCCAGACCAGTGGGCCATTGAAGTTGTGCTTGGTTTGCCATTAGAGTGCCAGAGCAAGGCGCCGGACTCCAGTGGTTGTGGTGGCCATGATGCCCAATCAGTGTGTGTATGACTCCCTTGGGATCCACCGCTCGTATGTTGGTGCCATCAGCAATGTACATGGTGCGATCTGCGGCAATGGCCAGCCCCTTCGGATGCGAAAGACGAGCCTGCAACGCCGGGCCTCCGTCACCGCAATTGCCCTCATCACCGGGTATGCAACGCTGTCCGCTCCCTACAATGGGCTCACTGTTGATACTGGGGTCCTTCACTTTCTCTAAACGCAGCAGTCTTAGAATTTGGTGCCGCTCCGGATCGGATATATACAGGTGGCCATCTGCGGGCGACACTGCCAGGTAATACTGATAGGAAACCTGTGTGGCACTCAGTTGCAGTATTGTGTAGACTTTGCCATCAGGCGTGATGCGTCGCACCAAGTTGAAATCGCCCACGTACAGGCTGCCGTCTGGGCCGGACGCCAATGCGATGGGTGTGAGTAGCTTGGCGTCCTTGGCTATGCCGTTGCAGTGGTCGGGACAGTTCAGCGGACGTTGCAAGCCGGTGCCCATCACCACCTTCACGGTGCGAGGGTATTCCTTCATGTGAAGCGTACTGCCATCCCCCTTCTGTAATATGCCTTCGTGGAAATTGTAGTGGTGGTGTATGTCCAGACCCCAGCCCCCGATGTCTGAAATGTCGACGTCATAGCCCTGCAGCTTGGCGGTTTGCGTGATCCAAACTGGCATCTTGCAGGTCGAGTGCTGGTAGCCGACGGAAATGCGTGCAATGGTGACGCCGTAGACCTTCTGCCGATAGACATTGCGTTTGTTCCAGGCGAACGTGTGTATTAAGTTGGGATCGGCCTCATACGTCTTCACATGAAGTGCGCCCTCGATTTCCACGCCCACATGAACATGCGTCAGAGTCTTTGGTATCTTTTCCGCGGTGAGGCGCATGCGTACGATGCTCAAGTAGCCTGAGGCTTGCGAAGACTGATACGTGAGATGCAAGTCGAGCCAGGTATCTGTATTGATTCTTGTACGATCTGAAAGAGGAAAAGAATGTTAGTAAAATTGCAAAAGTAAATGTTCTTAGCTGCACCCAAGCACAGTGCAAGCCATTTATTTAATAAGGAAATTTTAATCGAAAGATGCCCAAGGAGCAAATCATTTAAGCCAAGTTCGCCGGCAACCCCATTTATGCTTTGCAGAAACGTATTTAGGAAGACACCCCCATTTACAAACGAGGGCTCTGGGAAAATTTAAAAGTGCTCTTAGTTTATTTTAATTTAATTAAAATACTCGGATGAGACAGCTGATGTCAGTGCCAGCAGCCAACAGCAAGCAGCCAGGGGACAGTATAAGGCGGGGGTCGATGAGGCGACGCCAGCATAGTGGCGAGTGTGGCTGTTTTTGTTATTTTTGTCGGCGCCTGGGCTGCTGTGCACTACCCTAAGCTCATCATAAATAATGCAAGGTCGAGCAGAAACTTTTCTCCATGCACTCGGCAGCTGTAGTCTTCACCAGTGTAACTGTAATGTTTATAATTTTTATATTGTTTTCTTTCCATTCGCAAGGAAAGCACACGGGTGGCTTCAAGTGCAAGAGAACTTAAAAAATAATCAAGCGTAGCTTAAGCTCAAACAGTGTGTAGCTGGGTCGCTACCAGGTGGATGAGGATGAAGATGTGGCCCGTAAGCAGTGGTGAGACAAGGCTACAAACCATAAACATTCATGGTAGCAGAGACAAGCTCATCCAGCTGCAGCCAAGTGGCGCATTGCTTGCAACGTGACAGTTTTACCAGAGCCGCGCCGCCACTACCTAATTAAGTTAGAGCAGCAAATTCTATTTAAATTGGTTAGCAGCGATAACCTCGTATCCCGACTGAGTGCACGGTGGTGGGCAGGAGGGGGAATTGACGCCAGCGATGTGGCGCTGGACTGTCTTTACTCACCTGCGTTTCGGCGAATATGACGCGCTTGCCCGGCATGGCGCCCACGCCGTTCGGCATCCAAGTGCTAATTAATTGAGGTTTCAGCTCCTCGTGGTCATGCTCCACGCATATTTTGTTCACATCGGCCTGTTCATCGGCGAAATGGTAGAGTATGGAGTTGAGGAAAGTGAGCGCTGGATTCATTGGAGCCACTCTGAAAGAAAACCGCAACATCAAATTTCGTAATTATTAAAATTAGATCCGGGCGATTCAATTAATCCTGCACTCGGGCAACCGAATGGCTGCCTGAAACTTACTTTATGCTGCGGCCATTGCTTTCGTCATCGTCGCTCAGCTGCATCTGCACGGGCGGCAACACCACAATTCGGTTCCATGGCACAAAGACGGTGCGCGTGAGCGGCCTGAAGGGAGAGCGCTGAAACTGCAACGTAACTGCACCGCCGCCATTTACGAGCACGTCAAACCTAGTTGGGAGAATAGAAGGAGAGCGAGGTGCAGGCAAATCAATGAAGTTCATTAATTAGCATCAAATTCGGCGTAAAATTACAGAAGAGCACAAGCAAGGCGACGCCAAGAACGCCAACAGCGCCAAAGTCTATTCAGATTACGTATACGCACCGCCCCTCGAAGGAGAATCGCACGCGAGCGACTCAGGTTGCCAAGACGCCGGCGAGTGGGCTTTAATTGAATATAAATAATGAAATTTCATGTTTTTCGCCGGAGTTATGAGCATGGCTACACATAAAGTTATCTATATATGTACCAAATATACAGACGTTAAATGGGTGTACAGTTACTGCACGTTTTAACGCTTTAATTTAAACATATTTTTTGGCAAAAAATCTCGATTTCTTACTTGCACGCCAGCTTCAATTTTTATTTTCCACTTACGTAGAATTAACTTGGAACTAAACTCCACTTTTGTTGGAAAAAAAAAATTTTCTTTATTTTTATAATTTTTTGTTGCTACAAAATATCGCGAAGTTTCTTTTGCACTGATAAAACAATGAAGTTACTCTTTTCCGCTGGGACTTTCTGGCCGTAGAGTGATGTTGAATTCTGTAATTAATAATAACTGCTCGAAGAAGCATTGATGAAATGAAGGAATGTGCCAAGCTGCCGTGCGCAAGGTGCGCAACTGTGCATCACAATGGTGTGGAATTACTTGAAGAAAAGTTATGAGTCTTAATTAAAAATCTTGCACCTTGTATTGGAAATAAAAAGGAAAAACACTGAAGGATAAAATCGAATCCCATGTTGATGCTTTTGCTGCGAGCTAGATTTGTAGTTAGTTTAATTAAAAACTGAGTTGTAAATGTGAAGTTCAAATACTTCAAATCTGTTTTATGTACAGCTCTTCAATCTTCAGGCGATAGTTTCATTAGTGGAATAAATGAAATCGATTCTTAATCGCACTCGGCAGCTCGGAAGTCGTCTTGCGGCGCATCTGCTAACTTTGATGGCTATTTGCTTAGCCCGAGTCGCGGCTATGACCGACAATCGATTGGCGCACACATATTACACATTGTATACGGTGCAAGCCTTCACATGTCCTGCTTGAACGACATTTTTCACTTTGGAACAATGAACACATATTATGCGATGTTATTTCGCTTCAAAGCCACAACACAAGCGCATAGCCAGCCGCCGCAGAGATTTTTCTACGTAACCACTTACGGGTTGGGCGCTTCTTTTTTGTTTTTGTTTTTTTGTCTCTTTGCTTTATCCACTACTTTTATGTGTTGTATATAATTTTGGTTCATTTTTTCTCCATTTTCTTTGCATTGTACGAAATCCAATTTCGTTGTCACATTTTCCGGCCACGAACCTTTCGTCCGGCTCTCGGTCACTTCGCTTCCCTCACCCAGCCAGACTGTTGTGTTTCAGATGCGATAGCAGCGACCACAGCGAACAGAGTGCGGTTATGTCCTTAGTTTGACCGCTGTCGTCGTCGTCGTCTACGTCCTCGTTGTTGTTATTGCACATTGTTGCTGCAGTTGTTGTAGCGCTTTTGCTAAGCGACAATGCTATCGAGAGTTTATCTCTTGCTGCCTCTGCGCGGGTGGGTGTGTGTGTGTGTGTGTGTGTGCATGTGTGCGTGGGTTTGTATGTAACATGCAATTGTGGTTTTGATTTTCCATCTTCAAAATGGTTGCTTGGACAAGCAATCGCAATCGGAATCGCAAAGCATACACACATACAAATGCACATATATATGTATGTACATTAGGGCAGAGTAATTTGTGTGAGTAAAATTTTGGAAGAAAGTGTATGGCAAATTTAAATTCCAGGATTCTAAGTAAAAATGGAGAACGAACGTTTTGATGACGTTTGATCCTCTCAATTTGCAAAAGAAAACTCAGCATATTGTATAAAGAAAACACAAAATTTTGTAAATGCAAAATAAATTTCATTCACAAGAAATTATAATACACTGATTTTTCTGTTGCAAATTGGGAGGGTCAAACGTCCTTTTTGGTATATAGTTTGTTCACCATTTTTGCTTTGAATCGAACGTAGAATTTGAATATGCCAAACACTTAATTCGAAGTTAAATTACCCTGCCCTAATGTACATATCTGTATATGTAAGCACTTAGATATAAAACAGCCGAGTGAAAAATATGTGCGGAAATGGTGCAATTTCCAGCGCAGGATAACAATATCGACCAAAAGACTAAAAGGACATTTCGTCAAAGTCGGGTGCACCTTAATGGCTTTAGCTGCCTTTTTTCATTTTACACAAAGCAAACTAATTCAGCAAATAGCTTCGGCATACAGATTCAAGCTCTGTGTTGTATGTTGACATTTGGAGAAAGATAATCTTGAGGAAATTGTAGAAAAGATTCATTTGGTCAGTACTGTGCGCGCTTGTGAATGTGCCATGATCGAGTGCTTGCCTCTACTAAAAATAAATTTACTTAAAATTACTTAAAATTAAATTTTTCATCATCAGAGGCATATGGAAAAATTTAGTGAGCAATTTGATTTACTTCGTTTAAAACAAACGACAAATCCTATCCTTCTGTTCTAATCGAGGCACGGAAGGAGGAGAATGAATTAGAAATATTTTTGCAGACTGATATTAAATTTATTTGTAAAAATATTTGGCGAAAAAAAGTAATAAAGTTCTCCTTCTTTTACGAAAAAAAGTTCAAGATGCAAAACCATGGCTTACAACCATGCAGAGGTCCGATAAATACTTTTTTATATAAATGGTCTTCTGCAATAACGGCACAACTCAAAACTGCATGTTTTTTAGTTACATATATATCGGATAAGGTTTATAAATGATGTTGGAACCCATCTGGAAGTTACGTGTCATCACTGATGTTAACTCTAACTTTGCAATTCTGTCGATCGAATCAGATCAAGGTCAGCTTTAATATCACCGATGACAGTTAGGTCTTAGGACCAGTTTTTCAGTGCGAGTTTAAACTTAGATTACGTAAATTGCGTTTTAATTGAACAGCTGGCTGGCATTTGATTGACTAATCTTAGTTTAAACCACAACCGTGCATTGAAAAACTGGCCCTTAGGTGGATTTTTATATCAGAATAACATTTTTGTGCAAATTGCATATAGAAGGTAGTGAATATAAGCCCTCGATATGCTTAGATGTTACCAATCCGACAGGGGCGCAGTTTTGCCATTGGTCACAAAACCGAAGTAGGCAACTCTTACTACTGAACAGTGGCACATGTCGCACATTTATTGTGGATATTGGCATAAGTCAAAAACTCGATATGTTAGTTATGCTTTTATGTGAAATATCGACATTTTTGGTTTTGTGCCGTTGTTCAGTAACACCACTGGAGTTATTTTCCTTTAGCTACTTAGGTGTTGTTACTTATTTCGTACTTTTTTAGTGAAATCTCACTAAATCTTTAGAAAAGTTATAACTTGAAAGCTTATAAATTTTCGCTACAAACCGACTGCAAATAATTTGGAATAAATAGTAACGTTCCAAGACACATTTTTGTTAAATTACGAAACGCAAATCCTTTAATTGGCTATACTGAAAAATATGGAATTTTGAGTGGTGTCCTTATTGCAGAAGACCATCGTTAGACATACATATGTACTGATCTCCCCTCTCATTGAGTTAATCAACTGTTAACTCACACTAAAATGGGTCGGTTAGATCTGTATTTTTGAGAAGCCCAACAACACAAATGCTAAGTGAAGAACTTTGCGGTGAGGAACCGAAGAAATCAAAATCCGAGGATTGAAGATAAGTATGTAAATATATGTATATAGAGGTATTATATTCAAAATCTGCTTTTAGCGATTTTTATAATAAAAGTACTTTCTGATGTTAGACTTTGTCTGAATTCTTCTTGTTAGAAGAATTAACTATTCAATTGTATTTATGGAAATTATCTTTTTCTGCTAAAGCGATAGAGTATAATCGATTGAGATGTCCACGATTTACCTTTCCCTGATTCCATATATACACATTTGATGTTGCCTTTTCTACCCGTAATTTTCAAGGGCAAGGAAAAAGCCCTTATTCCTCATAATATTAAAGCTTTAAACGTTCCATATTTAAATTGGGCGCCACTTGTATCTACTCACGTCGAGCGCACGTTGTTTTTTTATTCGCGACAATCGAAAGAAAATGCCGCCAGAAAACTTCAAAATGCATCTTGTGGTTCAATGTTACTACAACTCCTGAAAGTTTTTTGAGCTAAAAACTCGAAAGGAGAAAATAGTCAAAAGATTCAAAGTACAAATTATTCATATAATTGAAATTATAATGAAATTAGTTCATAGCTTTTCTACTTTTACTTGTAAAATAAACACTTCTAAAATAAATAAGGGTACTCATCTATTCGCGCAACTTCCATATTTGGGCAATTGGGCAACTTTGCGCAGTGTGTTTCATGAGGAAAATTTTATATTCTGTGCAATTTCAGACATTTAATTATTTGACAATGTTCAATTTATAAATTTGAACAATTTAAACTCGAATTTAAGAAAATATTTAAGTCTTACGAAAAAGCGTTGAGCATAAATCAAAATGAAATTAAACAAAATAGTTTATTGAGGGTTGCACATCACACTGCGCAAATTTGCGCGACAAACTTTCCACGCAAACTTGCCCTTTTTGTGCAAATAGCTTTCCATACAAATTTTGACATTTCATTTGCGAGGGTTTTAAATTGCACAGTTTGCCCAGTTTGCGAGAGTTCTGCGCTTTTAAATGAGTACCCTTAATGTGTTTTTTGATCATTTTTCGGTTTTTGTCGTTTTTGTCGTTTTTTAGTGTCTTATTTTGCCTTTTTGCGAATTTCAGTGCCTTTTTCTGCCTATTTGGTTATTTTATTTTTCTTTTTTTATATGGTTTTAGGTCCTAAAAATCCGTTCCCTGGTGATGACAGTTAAGTCCCAGACAAGTTCTAAGGCCAGAAATTAGTTTTTTGTGAAAATCGATGATAGGAGGTTTTCAATATATAGTAAGTCTTCGATAAGTAGGCAAATCATACAACATTTTGTTCTTTACAGGGTAATTATAAAATTTTATATAAACAAAAATACTTCCTCTGCGAGTTTCTTTTAAAAACTATTTTTATTGATGTAGTAGCGAAGTTATCAAAATCTATTAGGTCCTATATGATGTGAATTTTTAATGAAAACTACTTGGGGTCTTTCTAATCCACTGTCGGAAAATCGTTTGGAAGTGAAACAAGATTTTTTATTTGACTTGACTACAAAGTTTGGTAATTATTTTGTTTAGACTCTAAAATGGCAATTCAGTGCAATTCAACAAATTTACCTATTTAATTTGAAGCAAAAAATTCAAACTGAGCCGATGTGTTCTCCTGGTTTTCAGGCGAAAATCATTGAAAATTGCAAACAGATGGCAGATGTTTTTTTGCCTCTGGACTCTTATTTTTGTTATACACATATTTTTTGTCTGATTTATTTTTTCTTTGCACTTTCCACTTAACTGACGCCGCCAATGGTGCGGCAGTTGCACAGGAAATGGCTGAATTAACTCTCCGCTAAAAGCTATTTAATTAGATGGCAAACAGTGCTAGCAAAAAAGCAACGCACCCAGAAGCAAAAACAATTTGGCGTCCACCACAATTTGTGAGCGGTAGATTGTTTGCAGAAATGCGTAACGGCGCAATTAAAGGGATATGTGCCTAGGTGCTCTCGCTCGCTTCACTGAACCCGGGGCTTCCAGCATCACAGCTACCTGTTTATTTCCGGTACATATGTACATGTATTGTCTGTCCCCAATGGTAGTTTTGTTTTGGCGTTGTTGAGTATTTATAAATGCAATTTCTACCTCTGCTTGTTGTTGCTTTTCGAAAACTTATTGTTCCATTTGCTGGAGCTTTTGTTGCTGCCGCCGGAGCGTCCCTATTGTTCTTTTTTGAGCTTTTTGGTGTATTTTGGCAATTAGTGCTTCCTTTTCAATGCTGGGCGCGCGTAGCCGTGTTTTTGCATTGGTGCCTCGGAAACGAGTTTCGGGTGTCGGTGCGTGGGAGTGGCTGCATATTCCATATTGTTGAAATAGTGGCAGCCGTTCGAAAGGACTGCAGCAGCGCGGCAAGTGATGACTATGTACTATGTATTTTCGCAGTTGATGACGCTTGGAAGAGAGCACAATAGTAAGTATTGATAAATACATAAATATGTACGTCAAAATACTGTTGATAGCCGCACGTTAAAGGACAGTGTGAACATTGTTTGTTGACCGGGAATGCCCTCATTCAGTTTCATATATATATATATGTATGTATTTACTGTGCTTACAAATTTCAATATCGATTTTCGATTAACTCGGAAAGCGGTGCCAGCAGATTGCAAGACTGATTTTTGCCCGGAAAAAAAAATATTTAAAAAAATTTATGGCTGATTGCCATTTGCAATCTGGCAAAAAAAAAATGTAAATAAATTTAAATGTAATTCGCCATGTTCACTGTGACTACATATTTCCAACTGTCCTTCGCAGGCGCGTACACAACTGCACCCACATACATATGGACATACATGTGTATGTACATAAATGCTTGTTCGTGAGCTTTTCATTAAAATTAAGTTGAAGTGTAAAGTGTTGCAGTTACATTGCCAACAGCCATTACAACAATAAAATAATTTGCGGCAACACTTGCAAATTTTAGTTTCGTTTTTGTTGTTTAAGAACTTGAATGCTTAATTTGCAATTGACCCAAATATCGGAGCTGATGGGATGGAAGCTCACGCACCCAACCATCGTAAATTCGAATAAGGATATAAGTACTTTGAGGAAACATATGCATACAAACCTTTAAAAGTACGAAATCGATATACATACATATGTATGTATATAAATATGTACGATATGTGTAGATATATTCGAGTGCATTTATTGGATACATGAAAGTAGAGCAAAAAGTTTGCAGCCGAACAAGAGCGCGTACAAAATATGAAATGGAACTTCTAAAGCAGGGGAACTCAAAAAATCTTCAAAAAGAAACGTTATGTTATATATGTAAGTATATTTTCCCTGAATGTTATGTAAAAGTATCTAAATACTTAGCTGTGCTTCGAATTAAAAGACTTGACTTGACTTAAAAA